GCCACAGAGTAAGCATCCAGGTTGGAATCAGTAAACACATGTAAACACACTGTGAACTTACCGTGGCGTCGGCTCCCGTGGAAACAGGGCTTTTGGCGCTTTTCTCCTCCAGATTCTGGGGAGCTTCCTCTGGCCCCCGGGTTACCAGAATTCTAAAATGCTGCTGCCCTGCATTCTGATCCTGCCTGATTTTAAATGTGCACCCCTGGCCCTGTGGAGTCCTCTCCACGGAGTTCGTCCTGCGGATTTCGGGAGCCATCCTGCCAACCCGAGGTGGTGCCTCCGGGGGTCCCCGATCTTCCGTGGGGCTCCCTCGCTCGCTTCGGGGCTGCGTGGGGTATGAAGTGCTCCTCTCCAGCCGAATGCGGGGATACCTCACCAACCTGTCCCCCTTTGTGCCAGTGAAGCCAAAGTTGAGGTCACCGCCCGGCCCCGGAGCGCCTTGCTGGGGTTGCTGCAACTGGAAGACAAAACACCGCTTCCCGGAGCTTCCAGAAGCATCTGGAACGTGCTGCAGAGACCAGCGCCTGGGCTCTGCCGCGGCCGGGCCGCCCTGGCTGTCAGGGCTGAGGGGCAGCAGCCTCACCTGGCGCACGTCGGCGCTGGAGGCGCGATGCTGGATGCGCAGGCCCGGGGTGGCCTCCTCCGCGCAGTCCATAGGGCCCGGGCACCGCACGCGGCGGCCGCACGTGCCGTTGACCTGTAGCCCCGGGTCCCGAGCTGCCCTCGGAGGGGAGCTCCCACAGGTGTCCCTCAGTGCGGGCTCCCGGGAGCCGCTCTGGGGCGAGGCCCTGGTAGTGGCGGTGACAGAGGCCTGGTCCCCGGAGTTGGGCGCGGCGCACGGAGGTCCATCGTCGGCGCCCTCGGGCGGCCCGCACCCGTCTGTGGCCCCGTCCGTGGCCTTGCGCTGCAGGGAGATCTGCACGGAGGAACTGCACGTGGGGCGGGCGTCGACGCTGGTCAGGAGCTGCGGGATGAACATGGACGAGCTCCGCTTGAGCGCGCCCACGCCTCCCTGCAGGCCGCCGCCGCCATCCTCCGCTCCGTTCTGGGCGAAGGGGTGCGGGCTGCTCCTCCGCGGGAGGGTGTGGAATGCCATGAAAAAGTCGTCTTCTCTCTCCTGGTCTAGGATCTCTGATTCGGGGGCTGTGTTGCTGCGACCAGAGCCAAAATGAAACCGAAGCCGATGGGCCATGGTGACCACGGGGGCCAGGAGGGCGAGGGCGAGCGGCAACAACAGGCCCGGCACTGCCAGCAGTCACAAACCAAAGACACAAACTCCAAGAAAAAGTGTCCCATCTGCCAAACCGTTAGCACTGCGGCACCAGGAGCGACAGATAGCAGAAATAACCCAAGTGGCAAGCGGCATTCCAGGCATGATTGGGTAAGAGCAAAAAGCTCTCATCCACACTGTGACAGAGGGTAGGGTGGCCAGACCACATGACCGCACTCTCCCCCTCCAATGCCAGCTTCTGGACTTAGAGGAGTTTTCCCCCACTCGCTTTTTTTTTTTTTTAAACAGCAAGAGCCTGAAACAGCACCTTCCCAGCTGCTGCTTTTCCATCAGAAAGGAGTGGCCCCAGCAGGGCGCTCTCACAGCTGACTAAGGCAGCAAACACACTGCAAGCCACGCTGCTATAAATCTAACCACATCACATTCGCAGGGCATTTCTTTCCCAACGGGGCACAGCGCTGGGACTCTAACCAGTGTAAAGACCTGGCAGTCAACACAGCACACACGGTATTTCCCCACCTCCCACCACACGGAATAATAAGTAAAATACGGCTTGGTCACCAGGTAAACCCCTTCCCAAACATTGGCTACAATGTTTCTGTTATTTATGACATCACTACACCACCATGACGGAATGCAAACTAATTAAACAGTACTATGAATATGATTACACACCCCACAGAGTTAGTGTCCGTTTAATGCTAAATAATTACACCAGGATCTACAAGTAACAAAATAGCTACGTGGAGGGGAGGGGATGCGATTTGCTACACAACCAGTGGGCCCAGCAGAGGCTTCCTGCTATCAGAACATTTTTCATTCAAAAGGTGTATACATGTGTGTAGCTCATATATTACCATCGGACACCATAGTACCAGAGAGAAGGAACACAGCTGGAGAAGACATTGTCTCCTGTATGTCAGGAAGGAGAGAAAACATCAATCAAAAAAAAAAAAAGGAAAATTGAAGGGAGTGCATGTGGATGATTTTTTTATTTTTTTGTAATAATGTAACTTAAATACCATACAGAAGAAATGCTGCCCAGAGCTGACTGTTTCCCAGTAAGAAGTCAGCAATATTACCACAATTGGGATACAAATATGGAATCTTGCTATGTTTGCAAAGGACCAAAAAGGACCTAAGAAATAAAAGGAAAAGTGCACACTCAAAAAACTGTCATCGGATTTGTAGTTTGCTTGGAAATGTATTGCTATATTTTAAATGTATTGATGTATTTTAAACTTACTATTTTCTATGATCCAGAAACATCAGTTACTTAACAAAGAGGTTTATTGGGGGGGGGGGGAACCAAGCCCTAAGACTGACAAAAAGTTTATTTTAAAATCTGCAAAGCATGACTTTGTCAACAGCTCTAGCATCCAGGGTGTGGTGGATTAACCCTGTGTTTACATACATCCAAATCTGTTTTCTAAAAGCATGTGTTTTAAATGCCAAAAATGACCTCTATGAGAGGAATGGAAGCTAATTTGTGTAATGTTAAAACTTCCAAGTACTACCATAGTCACATATTGTCTGCGCTGGTTAATAGCCAACAAAGAAAAAAAAAAAAAAACAGTAACACCAGCATTCTTTCCATAGTAATCACATTGGAGATGGCCTGGGGCAAAACTAGGCATCAATATAAAACACAATTTTTCAGGTAAAGTTTGTATTCAGCTGGGCGCAGTGGCTCATACCTGTAATCCTGGCATTTGGAGACTGAGGTGGGCGGATCATAAGGTCAAGAGTTCAAGACCAGCCTGGCCAATATCGTGAAATTCTGTCTCTACTAAAAATACAAAAATTAGCTGGGTGTGGTGGCGTGCACCTGGAGTTCCAGCTACTTGGGAGGCTGAGGCAGGCGAGGAGGCAGAGGTTACAGTGAGCTGAGATCGTGCCACTGTACTCCAGCCTGGGCAACAGAGTGAGACTCCATCTCAAAAAAAAAAAAAGTTTGTATTCATACAGGATTTCTTAAAAGTCTTGTATTCAAAGTCGTTTTCTGTTTGGAAGTATAATTTCAGACGCATGGCAAGATCACCTCAACTACGGTCATTATTTCAGATATGGAAATGGGAAACAATGTTTTAACAGTGAATTCCTCTTAATAGAAGAAAACAATGAACCAAAACACATCAAACAAGAGGCCATTTTTCCTCATATTTGACCCTTTCCTCATGTTAAAGAAGAGACATTATACTCAATAATCGGAGAATAAGGATTAGTCTACAAATGCACCCATGTCTCCAGAAACGTACTGCTATGCTACAGGATGCTGCCTAACTCACTTGGTCCTCACTAGATGAGAGATGGAGAGATATGAACCGCATCCTCAGCAGAAGCTCTCGTTCAGTCTCACAAGAAAGTACTTTTACACATACAACAAAAGTGGTTTAGCTACAACTGTTCATCACCCAACATCCTTTAATGGAAAAGATACTTCTAGAATGGTAGGCCAGAATCTGTTAATTTTCTCTTTTGGAGAATAATATTAGTCATATGAAATTCAATACTTTCCCAAACTACCACTGGGCTGGGACTTAGGAGGCCAGCAGGTCAGACCCTGGCACCGCCACTGACGGATATGTTTATATAAAGGCTCTAGAGCTGGTTCTTCTCATCTTATTATAAGAAAAGGAGTTCTTGTGTAAGGCTTCTCCAGCTCAACTATTCTTTTAACGTCCAGCTATTAAAAAATCTGGACTTTCAATTGAATTCTGCAGAAAGCTTCTTAAAAACACCTTTTAACCAGTCAACATACCATACAAGTTTCAGGGAGGGTAAATCTGAGAACGACTGACTGCACTGAATTACAATGTCGCTTCTGAAGGTACCTTAAGGACTTCACACGATAGTGTTCATTTTCATAGTTGGAATACTTGGTTCACAGCTACTTATGTACACATTCTAGTTAGTTAAGAAAGCAAAATGTGCTTCCAAAATGCCATTTCTAAAATGAAATCTGGCCAGGCACAGTGGCTCATGACTATCCTAGTTATCCTGGAGGCCTGCTTGAGCCAGAGGGTTTGAGGTGACAGTGAGCTATGACTGCACCACTGCACTCCAACCTGGGCGACAGAGGGAAACCCTTTTTGTAAAATAAATAAATAAAAATAATAAAATAAAATGAAATCATATCAGTTATGTATGTATCGATCTTTATAAACATTTTATATATATCAATCTATATATAAAATGTTAGTTTATATCTGTTATATGCCTCAGACATATCTTTGGTTTTTTAAATGTACTTTCTAAGAATCTCTCTTGAGAAAGAAACCACTTTTAAAATACAGCTTGACTTTACCTGCTAAATGTAGATTCACTTTTTGCTATACACTGTTAATTAGATTTTTATTTCCCCCGAGAGAATTACCATAGATTTGCTATTGAACGCATTCCAGTATTATGGCCTGGCTTTCATTTAAAACCATGCAAAGTTTGTTTACATTCCTGATGGTCGCTTTAGAGATCTGCCTACCATATTCCCAACGCTACATCATGAGCATACGGGCTGATACTATCACCAGTGACTTTTGTTAACATTAATTGCGATAAAAATACACACGCATACATACAAATACATTTTTTATCCTAGCAACATAAAAGTATTTGTTAGGATTTTGAACGTCAAACTAGCAGTGGGACAAAAATAGTCTTCTCTTTGGACACATATACTGTCATAAACACAAAGTTTTAAAGATGCTGCTCTGAAAACCCAGTTTATAAAAAATGAAGCAAAATTCAAATACAGGAACCCACTTACCAGTCTGTTTTCGTCAAATACTTCAAATAGGAGTCTGTGATTAGATGGGTTTACCTATGAGGAACGTAAATAGCATTTTTTAAATGAGCAGGAATCATTCGAACAATGACATAAGGAACAGAAAGAATAAAATACCGCTTTACAATGCACCCAACTCAATTGTATAATATGAACAATTATCCTACTGTTCTGGAAATTCTATGTGTACTAAATCAAATTTCCTATTACTTACTGATTTCTATATTATTCTGCCCCGAATTTAGGCATAGCAAAAGAAGAAAAGGCTCTTAGCTGTTTTTCTAAAATAAGAAAGGATAGTTGTAAATAGTTTTAAAGAGTTCCTAACCTCCATACGAGGCATTCTCATGACTGCAGATCAAAAACGTCTATGCCTGAGGCTATCTCTTAGGGCTAATGGCAGTAATAGTAATGATAAAAATAATGAAGAAGATTGTAATAGCTTATGAGAGAGAGAGAGAGAGAGAGAGAGAGCGAGAGAGAGAGAGAGAGAGAGAGAAACAGGTAGACAGACAAACAGGGTCTTGTTCTATTGCCCAGGCTGGACTGCAGTGGCATGATCACAGCTCAGTGCAGCCTCAACCTCCCAGGCTCAACTGATCCTCCAGCCTCACTCTCCTGAGTATCTTGGACCATCATGCCTGGCGAATTTTTGTATTTTTTTTTGTAGAGATGAGGTTTTACCATGTTCCTCAGACTGGTCTTGAACTCCTGGACTGAAGCTATCTGCATGCCTTGGCCTCTCAAAGTGCCGGGATTACAGGTGTGAGCCACTGTGCTCAGCTTGTGAGCTTATTTTTTAGGCACTGTCTTGTTATTAAATATCAACAATCCATGATCTCATTTAATTGTCACAGCAATCCTATGATGTGTAACTAATACCCAATTTTACAAATGAGAAGCCGAGATCCTGAGGGTGAAGTAAGTTGCCCAAGAGCCCACAGCTAGTGTATGGGGCAACCAGGACCTGCACTAGGTATATCCTGCCTGTCTTTAGAGCCTAGGCTGTGAACCATGACAGAGACCTGGAACTGTGGGGCAATGTCAGAGCTATTGGGCTTTCAATATCCTTTTGCTTCTTTTTCTTTACCCAAAACTCACCAAAATGGCCCATATCATGTTCCCAACTCAGGTATCATTTACTAATCGCCAACCATGTGTGTGACAAAGCGCTACATGTTCTCATGTATATCATCGCATGCACATCCTAGAAACAACCCTTTCAAGTAAGGATTCTCTCTCCTATGTGAGAGATAAGGGCCTCAGGGAGATTGAGTCCTCAGGTGGCCTTTCCAGGGTCATAAAGGATCTAAATGGTAAAGCCAGAGAGGTGACCTAGGCCCTGGCTGCTTCATGGTGGAGAATGGCATGAAATAACACTTGCCCATACAAGCCCAGAGAGCTCAACTTGTGCTTTGAGTCCCGTGGTCTGCCTGCAGCCTAACGACAGAACAAGCAGAAGGGGTTTGCTATCTCTTTAGAAGCTCTGTGAAGGGTTGCACTGCTTACCAATGCAACCACAACCTATAGGCAGGAGCTGGCACACAGTAGGCACTCCATAAAAATTTGTAAACTGAGTAAATATAAAGACCTTAAAAACCTGTAATCCCAGTACTTTGGGAGGCCAAGGCAGGCAGATCACGAGGTCAAGAGATGGAGACCATCCTGGCCAACATGGTGAAACCCCGTCTCTACTAAAAATACAAAAATTAGCTGGGCGTGGTGGCAGGCACCTATAGTCCCAGCTACTCAGGAGGCTGAGGCAGGAGAATCACTTGAACCTGGGAGGCGGAGGTTGCAGTCAGCTGAGTTCGCACCACTGCACTCCAGCCTGGCAACACAGCAAGACTCCAACTCAAAAAAAGAAAAAAAAAGAAAAGAAAAAGGAAAAAAAAAAAGACCTTAAGAAAAATCAACAAAAATAGAATATAAGTGTGCCTACTGCCAAGATTAGCTGAGAAAAGTTTGGGATAACATTTATGTAATTGTGGCCAGTGTTCCACTGAAGGGAGTCTAAACACTTTAGAGGTTCACAAGTGGAAAGTTTTATTTGAGAGTTAACTAAAGGCCAAGAATATCTATCAGCCCCTAGTAGCTTTTCAGTCCTCTGAGGGGTAATTTCAAATACATCTGGTAATTTCAAATACATCCATGTACATGAGGCTGTACATAGGATTTCACCAAGTATTAAAATATCAGTGCCATATTTAAAATCTGAGCATAATAGAAAGCAGATGCTGTATGCAGTAGTCTGGTTTGGAGCACAAAAAATACTATCGTGATTGAGAGGAAGAAATCAGGACCAATTAAAATGGGTCTCAAGGTAATATTGGCCTTTGGGAATCCGAACTAATCAGAAGACCTGGGTTATTTCTGGATACCTCCGGTTTTTAATGTCACAGCTGTACAATTAAAATACTTTTGCCTTGAAGAGAAAGCCCTTTTTTTCAATAAATAACTGAGCAGTCTAATTATTTCCACAATTTTAGTAGTAAAACAGCAACAGCCACAAATGATCACCAAGCACGAATCTCTGCTAATTCACATATTTCAGTCATTTCGACCTACAGCTCTTTTAAATATTAAATATAAAAGGTTGTAGTCCAGAAGTAATTTTATGTTGTGTGTGTGTGTGTGTGTGTGTGTGTGTGTGTGTGTATGCACTCAATATTTCAATTACCAAAATTTACCTAACTAGAACATAATTGGTAATTTTTATATTTCTTTTTAATCATATTGCCTCTAGTATTTTACTCTAAAATATTTCATAATCCACCTCCTAGAATTAAAACATTTCCATGAATGATATTTTATCTCATTTCTTAAAGAAAAGTTTGAATTCAAAAATGAAACACGGTATTTGGATAATTTTCTTGTGACTTCTCCAAAACACTACCCAGTGAAAGAAGTCCAGAGTCTGTGACCACTACTTACAGTCTTTCAAAATTTGGAACACATTAGGAAGCTATCTATTTTTCATCCTAATAGGAATGTCTCATTAAAAATTTAAGAGCTTTTCCTAAAGACAAATCGACTGTGATAACTGACCTAAATGTATCAATAACAATTATTGGCAAAAAATGAAAAACTTACCCTGAAATAAAATTCTTCATTCCATTTTGGGTTCAGCGTCTGGAAGAGAAATTAACCTGTAATATCTTTGAGTCTTTCAAACATAAGCAATTGCTATTGCAAGACAGACTACATATTTGCTTAAACATATTTTTGATTAAAAAAAGCTAAAAGAAGCATTTAGTCGATTATCTGAGACCAGTACTGGGGGAGGGGATGTATTTATGAAACAGATGCTTCATAGATATGAAACCTTAAACTGCTGCTATCACCAGAAGGAAAAACATCAGAGGCCTGGAAAGAGTCATCATGAAAATATAAAATATTCCTTCAACAAATTAGCATTGATATGATTACTGTACCGAGAAGGAAATGAACTTGGTTGACATCCCTCTACCTGCTACAAATCTTTACGCAGAGTAATGAAGCAGGTAGGGGAAGGTTGAATGTGTTCATTGTTTATATAAATATTGAAATCTAAAGAACATTTTATAGAGAGCAATACTGAGGATCAGATTTTCTCTATAACAAGAAAAAAAAGGCCAAATACAAACTAAAAGTAAATTTTTCTCCCCAAAAAAAAACCAGGTTAAAAAATACTTATCCACTTATCCTTCAGTCTTCCTCTCCATTCATCCATCTGTTCATCTTTCTATCAATCTACTGAAAAATACATTCCACAAGAAGATGGCAAGGATACCTTTGTCCTCAGCATGGAGGAAAGGACTGCCAGACATCCCCCAAAACTAAGAGGAGGCATGTTCTAGGAAGAAAGACACGTACATGTGTGTTCATGCATCTGCACATGCATAAGGCTCCGAAACACAGCTCTTAAAAACTGTATGTAAAAATCTGAGACAGAAAAATCATCACTTCACCAACAGCGACAGATATTTTTAGTCAAAATGATATTTATCTTTATCAACCTATTTCCTTTAAGAGATCAGTTCAGGGAGAAGAAAAAAAAATCAATAGAGTGCCACATAAAAATAGGAAACACAGAGCTTACACAACACTGAACTGACGTTTTTAAAAATTCAGCACTTTCCCCACCCACAATTCCACAGTGAATTCAATCCTGAATAACGGGGTTCATACTTTTCTCCCATATGAATGAAGCCAGGGATGGTAATGAGGGAGGGGAGGGGAGTGGAGTGGCAGGCCTGGCCTGCCTCGGGCTGCAGTCCCGGAGGGCCGCTTCATGGAAATGCACATGGGAAATGACAGGGGAGGAAAGCAATGAGACAAGAGAGCACAAAATGAACGAAGGAGCAGTCACAACACTGCAAGGAGAGGAGGATGACGGCAGTTCTCGCACCCGAAAGCAGCAGAGGCATACAAACCAGGAGGCGGGCAGCAGGAGAAGCAGAGCAAACCCAGCTGCAGAGCTACACCCTCGACCGTGGAAAGGGAGGGAGAAGGAGGACCTCCCTTTGGAAGGAAATACATTGCAATAGCCCCAATTGCCGGCTTTGGTCCTGGCTCGGCCTCCAGCAGGCAGTCAAGTTTCCCAGGTGCCTTCCTGGTGAGCCTTCTAGGCAGCCCCCACTCACCTAGAAACTGAACCAGCAAGAACGCCTAACACAAGGAACAATGGCCTCCGTACTGGCTCCTGTTTGCAAGACAGATTTTTAATACCAGTCCCGATGCCAAGTGGAGGACACACTGCAGTTACAGTTCCTAACAACAAAAGGACCTGGCCACAGATCCTGGGTGCCTGCATGGCAGCAAGAGAGCTATAATTTTTTAAAGCATTCGTGCTGTCCAGAAAATGTTCATCAAAGTGTTAAGACTGTCTAACCACCTGCCTCCAAAGGTGGTGAGGAAAAAAATCACAGTAATCCATAAATAATACTAAAACAGAGATGAAAGGGATTGGTTTTGTTTTTGAGGTTTTGTTTGTTTGTTTGTTTTGAGACAGGTTATTCTGTTGCCCAGACTGGAATGCAGTGGCATGACTATGGTTCACTGCAACCTCAACCTCCCGGGGTCAAGTGATCTGCCAGCCTCGGCCTCCAAAAGTACTAGAATTACAGCCGTGAGCCACCGCATCCAGTCAAGTATTTTTATTAGAGAACATGCATCTTCAATAAAGCCTCCAAATACAGGGTAAAAAATATTTACATATATATATTGCACATGCCTATAAATACATGGAGATAGTCAAATTAAGACATACTTATTGGCCAGGCATGGTGGCTCACACCTATATTCCTAGCACCTTGGGAGGCTGAGACGGTGGATCACCTGAGGTCAAGAGGTCCAGACCCGCCTGGCCAATATGGCAAAACACCATCTCTACCAAAAATACAAAAATTAGCCAGCAGCTTCCCGAGTAGCTTGTAATCACAGCCACTCAGGAAGCTGAGGCAGGAGAATCACTTGAACCCGGGAGGCAAAGGTTGCGGTGAGCTGAGATTGTGCCACTATACTCCAGTCTGTGTGACAGTGACACTCCGTCTCCAAAGAAATAAATGATTGAATGAATGACATACTTATGGAAACAAATTTTTAATGAAATCTTGTACATAAAAACTAGGAAAATAAGATATATACATAAACGTATAGCTTTATTATTAATATATTTTCTGTTTCCATGTAGCTAATCAAATATTTTGCTTCCTTTAAGCGTAGTTGTTTCAAGTTAAACTATTCCTCATGTGCCTACCAATTCCACAAACCGCTCCATTTCATTAAATGTATTTTAAATTATTTTAACTTTCTTTGTGAAACATAAGAAGACAAAAACAAATCTTTGTTTTGCTGTATTCTGTGGAAGAAAAAAAATGGTATAACTTACGACATTTTCAGAATACTGTTTTTGTAGCATTTAAGTAAAAACCTGAATCGCTATCTTAGGTTAGTACTGAAAAGTCTTGGAAAAGTTATAGATTTAATACTGAAAGATGCTTACAATGAAAATCTAGTATAAAAGATAAAAAGTGGGCTGGGCACAGGGGCTGACACCTGTAATCCCAGCACTTTGAGAGGGCAAGGCAGGCAGATCACTTGAGGTCAAGAATTTGAGGCCTGTCGGGCCAACATGGTGAAACCCCGTCTCTACCAAAAATATTAAAAAAATTAGCCAGGTGTGGTGGTGGGCACCTGTCATCCCTGCTACTCAGGAGGCCAAGGCAAGAGAATGGCTGGAACCCAGGAGGCGGAGGTTGCAGTGAACTGAGATCGAACCATTGCACTCCAGCCTGAGTGACAGAGCAAGACTATGTCTCAATAAATAAATTAAAAAAAAGATAAAAAGTGATGCACTCGTACACGGCAGCTCCACTGTAGTCTCATGGGACTACCACTGTGTAAATAGTCCATCCTTGACCAAAAGGGCATTATGCCCTTTTGTGTATAACTGAATTAAATTATGACTTAAATGAAGATGAGTTAAAAATCAACACCTACCTTTTTAATTGTTTTTGTCTGGACCAAAGCAAGTTCTCTATTCTCATCCGCTACATACAATGAAAGTTTCACGTATGGATCACTGTAAGAAAATATTTCAGATTTAATAGGATTATACTTTTTATTCAAAAAGAAAATAGTGGAACCTAAATGAAAATGCAAATATCAAAGTCTCAGCTTGGATTATTTCCACAAACTAAGCAATAACCTTTCTAACATAGCTACTAAGTCAATATACTTGGAGTAAAGTTCCTATCAAAACTACTGCCAATAATGTTTACTTAGAAGCAAATATATACATATATAATTTTAAAGACAAATTCTGAAAAGATTACAAGAAAGATTAAAAGGCACACAGATTTTGTTCAGAATTTACAAAATCTAGCTAGAAAATTTAGTATAGGTCTTATTCATATTCTTATTTCGAGTGTGTAGGTAAAACACCCATTATTCACGTAACCCAACACTTACCATTTGACAGATTAAAAACCAAATCAGGGCCAGGTGCAGTGGTTCACGCCTGTAATCCCAGCACTTTGGGAGGCTGAAGCGGGTAGATCACCTGACGTCAGGAGTTCGAGACCAGCCTGGCCAACCTGGTAAAAACCCTGTCACCACTAAAAATACAAAAATTAGCTGGGCCTGATGGCAGGCGCCTGTAATCCCAGCTGTTCAGGAGGCTGAGGCAGAGAATCACTTGAACCCGGGAGGTGGCGGTTGCAGTGAGCCAAGATCATGCCACTGCTCTCCAGCCTGGGTGACAGAGCAAGACTGTCTCAAAAACAAACAAAAAAAAAAACAAATCAAAACAAAACCACAAAAAACTAAAGCCTGGAAAGTCAACAGAGATTTGCCTAAAGTTACAAATTTGAGTAGTCCAGATTAAAGTTCTGGTTTCCTGACTACAAGTCCCAGAATTCCTTGTACACATCATATTATCTTTAATCATTTCCTTCAGAAAGGAACTTTTAGCAAGATGTGTATTTGAAAGGATTACTTACTGTGGACTACCTACTAAGAGGTTAAGCCTAGTCACACTTTCAAGTATTGCTAGCCCTGGGGGGTGGCTCAAACCTAGTCAAAATACCACTTTGTAAGAATTTAGGGCACAGGGGAATTTATTTTCCTTCATATTTGAGATCCTGAAAATCATTAAAAGAGCGCTCACGTATTCGTTCTCTAAATTCTCACTTATCTAGTTATCTATAGCCAAAGACTGATTGCTATCAATTCATCAGATTAAGTAATTTCAGAATTGCTCTTTAGTGGCCATACCATGACTATTAATGCTTTTTTTTTGCAATGTCTAAGGTATTTCCAAAGATGACATCAAGTATCTTAAAATGCTGGGACCATACTGATTTCTGTTTGGTATTTCAAATAATAAATAGGCTATGAAATCCTTTCACAAGAAAGTATGATAGAAGTTCAAAAGGCTATACTCAGTATCTGAAAACCAAAAGTCTGTGAAAAATACTACATATGTGTGTGTACACATGTGTCTATGTATTGCCCATAAAATGCATCTTAAAGGAAGCTACACAACATATCCTAAAAAAAATAGCAAAACGATTTGTTCAGTTATACTCCATCATGAATAAATTTTTATTTTTAACATAGTTTGGAAGATATTAGTCAATACTGCCTCTTTTCTGTAAACTGTAAACCTTTACTTGGTTAAATAACATCTAAGCAGACACACCTACTTCTATGGACACCCTCAGCCTCAGAAAGATAGGTCAAGAGCTGGTACCTAACCCAGGCTGAAGGTCCCATAAGTATCTTCCTAAGGGATGCCCATGGGTTGGTGGATGAATCAAGTGTCACTTTCCAGGGGAGTGAGACCCAGGCTTTAGCATATCAGAGTCACCTGGAGGAGGGGGTGATTAAAACACAGATAACTGGGTCCTGCTCCCAAATCTGAATTCAGTGTGGGTTAGAATCCAAGAATCTGCACTCCTAACACATTCCCAGTGATGCCAAGGCTCCTGACCCAGGAACCACTCTCAGAGAACTGTTCTATATGGCATTTGAAAAGAGTATTTTCTAGCTACAGAAACTACATTTTCAAATTCCAGTCACAATCTATTGCTTATAAAAGAGCTCAAGGTCTGATGATCATGTTACCTCAAGAGAATGTCCTGTGGATGTGTGTAGAGCACACATGCACACACGCGCATATACAGAATCCCGGGTGATAAAGACTATCATAAACTCTGCTGCTATCTCTCGTTTTTATGCCCCTGAGCTATCATGATTGCTGGCTAAAACTACAATAAAGAGCTAAGCATTTCCTGTAATAGAACATCCACATTCTTAGTGGTTTATTTACCTCAGTCTGTATCCCTTGAATAGCTCACAATAATTGACACATGCAGCTGGGGACAGTGGGTGGGATCCCTGGGTGTGGGACAATGTATCTTCCAGCAGTAATAAAGAAGTCACTAGGAATAGGTAACATCTTGAGTGCTCATGCAGGTAGGTACTAAGATATGATCAACTCTATCAAAGATGGACTAAGAAACTTCCTGAAAGAGAGTTCAGCCTGAAGAGAGAACCAAAGGCCAATGTCTTGGAGCTGGCTAAAGGCAGCAGGGTCTAAGCTCCAGGGAAGGAGAAGGCTGGGCGCAGTGGCTCATGCCTGTAGTCCCAACCATTTGTGAGGCTGAGGCAGGCAGATCACTTTGGCCCAGGCGTTCAAGACCAGCCTGGGCAACATGGTGAAACCCCATCTCCACAAAAAAAATACAAAAAAGTTTAGCTGCATGTGGTGGCATGCACCTGTAGGCCCAACTACTACAGCAGCTGAGGTGGGAGGACTGCTGGAGCCTGGGAGGTGGAGGCTACAGTGAGCTGAGATCGAGCCACTACGCCCTAGCCTGGGTGACAGGGTGAAACTCTGTCTCCTTCATTCATTCATAAATAAGAGGAGGGGAAACAGGTGCCCAGACCACTCGCAGGCTTCTCTTCTCTTTTGACTGGTACTTAACTACTCTTAACTTCAGCCTGCTCATGAATGAAATGAGAATGATAACTCCTAACCCAAGCAGTTATTGTAAAGACCAGAGAAAATCATGTATTAATACTAGTACCCAGCACCATTCCAAACACACACTACAAATGCCCCATAAATGACAGCCAAGGTAACTGTTCTTTGCTTCCTTTCTTAGGAGAAGTTTGAGGTTCTCTGTTGCTCCTTTTGACTCCCAACTCGTGCTACAATGACTGATTTGACACTGATTACCTCACAGTACACACTGGGTGCTGGCCAACTGCGGCATGCTACGTATTCCACGCCTCCTCATTATTCATACAGTGTGGATGTCCCACGGGATCTGGGTAGAGATGATCAAACTGAGAATCTTACTCACGCTGAAGCTCACCAGAATTCACTCTTGGCATCAAGTTACCATTCTAGTGGCTGGTGTCGATACAACTCAGGGCTAGCCTGATCCCTAGGAAGCTTAATGCTGTGCAAGAACACATAGATTAGAGAGCAAACTCTGTTTTGCAAACCTTTTGTGTTCTCTGCTTAGAGAAGCTGCTTAGGCATCACATTCTTCCTTTTAGCCTTTCCAAGGAGACAGTAAACTGGTACCAGGATTCAAGCAACCTTCTATTTCCTGAGTGCCTACTACGTAGTACCAGTGACAGGTTCCAGAAACAAAAGACACTGTCCCTACTCATTTGAATGGAGCACAGAGAAATAAAAACCTGTTTGTGACAGTGTTGAGGAATTCTAAGTGTATGATTGCTGAGAAATGCTCAGTGTATGCAAAATATATTGTTTGTTAAGAACGATGGCAAGGAAAACCTAGCTCCCCCCTCCCCCACCAGGTAGAAAACTACTTGGGGTATTCTAAACTGGTAGGACAATATATAAGTATCATACACCAGTTAAAACTATTCTTTAAGCACGGGACATCTGACCCTACCCCCATGGCACTCTTGTGCAGAATACTTTTTAGTTTGTCTGTGATAAGTGGTAAGCGGGCACCAGCTGCCTACTTGGTAAATTTTTGTGTTATGAGAAAATACCAAACATGAGAGAATAAATACACGGGTCAGAGTCTGCTCAGGACCTTCAGCCCAGAATGCTGTCAGTCTCTGAGGCTCTCAGCTCAGAAGGCTGTTGGCCCCCCAGACAGTCCCACTTTGCTGTTCTGTCTGGGTGTCTGCTTCTCAATACCTTCTGCACTGCCTGGGTGGGGGTCTCCACGGCTGAGCTGGTCTCAGTATGACAGTGTGTGCCAAGCACCCAAGAAAACAGCAGGCAATAGCAGTGGTCCCTGACTTCCCATGCAAATCTAGGGCCCCACCCTAGACCTGCTAGATCAGAATCTCCAGGGTCAGGACCTAGGAGTCTACATTTATCGAGTGTCTCATGTGATTTCTATGCACTGGTCCGTCCATACACCACTGCCAGATAGGAGTCTGAAGGCATGCATAGAGCCAGGAGGCACAGACCAAGAGCAGGGCATGGGCATTCCAGGCAGAAAGATCACAGGCAGAAGTCCAGTGATAGGCTAGAGCTGGGGTTCCAAACATTGAAAAAAAAGCCTGGCATGGCTGCAGTCAGGAGGGCTCAGGGAGAACAGGCAGCTGGAGAGGGAGCCCAGGCTCAGACCACAAGGAGTCTGCCATTCCTGCAGAGCTCAAACCCTGGCTCTTCATCAAGTAGTAGCTACATGACTTTGGGAAACGTACACAGCCTCTCTGTGCCTCAGTTTCACCATCTATGTAATGGGCATAATAGCAGTACTTCCCTTATAAAAAGCCTGTTGGAAAGACAAATTATAATAGTGCTTGACAGGAGTATAGTGAGCACTTAATAAACATTAGCTGCCAGCTGGGCATGGAGGCAGGTGCCTGTAATCCCAGCACTCTGGGAGGCTGGGAAGGCAGATCACTTGAGGTCAAGAGTTTTGGACCAGCCTGACCAACATCTCTACTAAAAATATAAAAGTTAGCAGGGCGTGGTGGCATGTATCTGTAGTCCCAGCTACTCAGGGAGCTGAGGCATGAGAATAGCTTGAATCCAGGAGGTAGAGGTTGCAGTGAGCCGAGATCGCACCACTGCAC